AAAAAATCTGGAGGACCAAAGTTTGGGAAAGACTGCCCTACATGATACATGGGCACAATTGCACAGCCTGGTTCTTACAAGACAGGCACAGCACAGCAATCCTTGTGGGTCCTCTCCATCCCAACAGCATTCAAGGGTCTCTCTCCTGCTGGTGCTGTGCAAGACCAATGGTACACAGCAGCTGCCTGAATAAATCTCTCATTTCACATCATGAGAAGGCATGAATCTTTGGAAAAAACAACAATGCTAGGAAAGGTGGCGGGGAGTAGAAACAGAGGAAGGCCACAAGCTAGATGGATGGACTTTATTAAAGAGATCACAGATATGAATTTGCAAGAACTAAGCAGAGCAGAAGAGGCCAGGGAGTCTTGGAGATGTCTCATCCACAGGGTTGCCATGGGTTGAGACCGACTTGGAGGCGGTGAACAACAAACAAAACAGCTTGCTCAGTAGCTCACTAGCAATTATTCAGACTCTCTTATTAGCTATTCACTTAGTGGCAGTTTCCCCTAAATTTTAAAACTCTCCATCCTTTGCCATTGATTTCCTCCCCTATTAAATTAATCTCTTACTTAAACTGTTCACGCTAATTCCAAGTGTGTATTTACTCCTCGCCAATGTTTGCCCACCTCCATCACTTTCACCTTTGCTGGGCTTCTGAATGCAGTCACGTTCTGCAAGCATCACAAAAGAAGAAAACAGCCCAAACTTCTGGTTCAAAGAGGCAGCAAGGAGTAAGAGTCACAGCAGAAGGTGGGAAAGTGCAACTGTGGACCATGTATAGACTTTTGTGGGGACTCAATGACATTCGCCACAGAGCTCTGTCAACCTCTCTCACTTTTTCAAATATATATTTTTAAGATGGTTTTTCACCTGAAAGCACCCCTAAGCAGAAAACAAAACAAACCCCTGACCATCTAGTGGCTAACGCTGATGAAGAACTTCCATTCCAGAATCTGGTTCCTAAGAGTAAAACTTAATAACATTAAGGGCATTAATTTTATTTTATTTTATTTTACTGGATATATACATCCTCCCTTTCTCCCAAAATGGGATAATGCATTAAGATGCCATGAGAAAACATGTGCTTACCATCATTATTTTAAAGAGGGGGCTTATGATCTTCTTTGTTACAATGCAAATGCTTTCAAGCCTTTTAAAAAATAGGATGGTTTATTTCATGGTTTCGAAGCTATTTGTTACTCTTACATTTGCAGTTTAGCTGGCCATGGTTTCTATCTGCGTTAAGAGTTGCCTTTGGTTCCACGGTAGAAGAAAAGCAGAATATAAATTAAATATATGCATACATGCATACACATGCTGAGATTGTGTGGTGTAGGGGTTTGAGCATTGGACTATGACTCTGGAGACCAGGGTTCGAATCTCTGCTCAGACATGTAGATCTAATGAGTGACCTTGGGCAGGTCACACTCTCTCAGCCTCAGAGGATGGCAATAGCAAGCTCCCTCTGGAGAAACCTGAGAAAAAAAAAACCCATGATAAGGTTGCCTTAGGGTCACTATAAGCCAGAAATGACTTGAAGGCACACACAACAACAACAACAACAACAACAGTTAGAACAGTGGATACTCAGGTCCCATTAAATACAATGGAATAGTAAAATGGTAGACAACAACATGCATATGTGTACAGGCACACATTTACAGTGTGGTGCAATGGTTTGAACACTGGATTATGACTCTGGAGACTACGATTCGATTCCTGCTTGGCCATGAAACCCACTGGGTGACCTTGAGCAAGTCACACTGTCTCAGCCTCAGGGGAAGGCAATGGCAAACCTCCTCTAAACAAACCTTGTTAAGTAAATCCCATGATAGGTTTGCCTTAGAGTCACCATAAGTTGGAAACAACTTGAAGGCACACGACACACATACACACACAAGCTAGAAGGACACACAGCCAGATTTTCTTTGGAGTAGACACACATAGGACTGTGTCATTTAAAGAAGCTAGCTCAGCAGGAATTTGTACTCAGATGACCACAATGATAATAAACTTAGCATTTCTCCATGCATCCGAACCTGTTGCCACAATATTTCTTTGCAATACCTCTGGGAAGAGGACCAGGGTCATCTCCATCTGGAGGTAAGCTGCAGGAGACCAAGAGCTGCTGGGCAAGGTATGGTTTTTCATCTGAACTTCTCCTCTGCCATGCAAATCAATCCCATCCTTCTTCTGTCTATCAAAAGCAGAAGAAACCGCCAACACCCACAAAGTTTACCCTTGTGAAGAAAACACAGCCTTCCCGCTTGCTATTCAAATCCCAGATTCAATGCTTTGATTGTGTTTGAATGAGTGATCCTGGGAGGAAAGTTGCAAGGTTTATTTGTTTGTTGGAGAGGGAGGGAAACAACTGCAGAGAGGACTTGAAAATCCTCCAAGTTCATTCACACACACACACACACAAAACCCAAAAATAACTTGGTTGGGAATGTCTCCCAGCTACGCTTTTCCTTTCCTCCATTGCATTGCCAATTTTTTTTTTTTTTTTAAGAAAAACATGGTTGCTCAAAAGCTTTAGAATCATAGAAGCAGAAGAAATCAAACTAATTAAATGCATGCAAATATACTTAACTTCACCTAATTTAATCAGAGTTTTAAAGCAGGGCGGGGGGGATCTATGTGTTTTTAGCCAAGTTTATTACACAGCAGGAAACAACAGAAGACTACTCTCCCTAACATTTTGGTTGCATAACTATAAATCAGCCCAGCCAAAGACTATTCAGTAAGGCAGAGGACAGCATCATGGGGCCCTTGGGGTCCCACATTGGCCCCTGATGAAGCCCCCAGCACCCCAAAACAGTTGACCCAAAGGACCATTAAAATACAGTGGGCCCTTGGTATATGCTGGGGTTTGGTTCCAGGACCCTCCGTGGATATCAAAATCAGTGGACACTCAAGTCCCATGGCATACAATGTCACAGAAAAATGGTAGAAATCAAAGCTATAGCAGTGTTCGTCTGTAAAATCAGAACGTAAAGAGATCTTGTAGCACCTTTGAGACTAACTGAAAGAAAGACATCAGCAGGACGAGCTTTTGTAGACTTAAGTCTACTTCCTCAGATGCATAGTAATGTCCCTTATATAAAATGACGCTTGAAACATGTATGTTGTGCATTTTGGTTGGCCAATAAAGGTATCACTGTTCGGTGGATTTCTGATGTTATTGAATTCGCTATATGGCCAACTTGGCTACCCCTGGATATTTTTTTTTTTTTTTGCAAAACCAAGGTTTGCTATTTGGAATGTATACTTTTTTGGATATTTTTAATCCTGGATGCTTGAATCCATGGATAAAGAATCCATGGATATGGAGAGCTAGCTGTATATTAAAATGCTATATAGGAGGATCCTTCACACATACAGCAAGACACCCGTCCCCCAAAGGAAGCCCAAAAGGTGATCGGGGCCCTTTTACACTACATAGTGATAGCACTATGATTCCACTTTAAATGACATGGCTACATCCTATGGAATCCTGGGATTGGTATTTGGGGAAGCCCTAAAACAGGGATTCCTAAAGTTTGGACCTCCAGTTTTTTGGACATCAACTCCCAGAAGCCTCAGCTAGCTTGGCCAACAGTCAGTAATTCTGCGAGCTGAAGTCCAAAACATTTGAAGGACCAAAGTTTGGGAACCACTGCACTAAAGCAAGGATTCCCAAACTTTGGTCCTCCAAGTATTTTGGACTTCAGCTCCCAGAAGCTGTAGCCAGCTTGGTCAACAGTCAAAAATTCTGGGAGCTCAAATCCGAAACATCTGGAGGACCAAAGTTTGGGACTCTGTGCACTAAAGCAGTGATTCCCAAACTTTGGTTCTCCAGATGTTTTGGAGGACTTCAGCTTCAAGAAGCTCCAGCTAGCTTGGCCAACAGTTAGGAATTCTGGGAGCTGATGTCCTCCAAAACATCTGGAGGACCAAGGTTTGGGAACCAGTGCACTAAAGCACTCTGGTTGGGAATTATGTGCCTTTATCTGTAATACAAATCCCAGGATCCCATAGGATGTTGCCATGGCAGTTAAAGTGGAACTATAGCACTATACCCATGTAGTGTGAAAGGGCTCCAGGAAGAAACATTACTTGTGGTCACTCAAAATGGCAGCCGCTATAGGACACAGTGGCTCTGGTGTTCTCCAGTGCCCACCACAATGGGGGGAACCATTGAGATATCCTAGATTGATCTCTTAGGGCTGATTTATTTGGTTCAGGTGACACCAGGATTCACTGCAGAGCCAGGTACAATGACAACATTCGTAACATTTAATCTTCTATTCGTTCATTTTGACAACTCTGAAATGTGGTGGAGGGATGAGTAATTGAGAAAATGGGAGCAGAGAGACAGACATATTTATTCCAGATTATGTCATCTGAGGCCGGGTGGAATCTTGATAACAGAATGAGATCCGTAATCACAGAATCACACACAATTTGGACGAATATTGTAGAATCTGTCCAACAAAGTACATTATCCACTGTGCAGAATGCAAATTCCAGTCATCCCTCCTAAAGTTTGCAGGTTAAGCATTTGTGGATTTGTTTATTTGCATACTACAGTATTTGCTGCCACCTCTGCGGCTGCCCTATACATGACCGAAAAGAAAATATGTTCTCTCTAAGCATTCCTAGGTCTTCTAGAATAATTCTATGGGCAACTTCCATAGGAAATGACTAGAGAAGTGTTCTCTTAGTTTTTTTTAAAAAAAATAGCATCCTATATTTGCATTTTTCGGCTTTTGCAGGGATCTTGCACCCTTAAGTCCTGCAAAAGTTGAGAGCTGATTGTACCCCATTCTTGACCAATAGTTGTACCATTAGCCCTCCATATCCACGGATTCTGCATTCACAGATTCAACCATCCATGTCTTGAAAATATTCCCTCCCTTGATTTTTGCCATTTTATACATTATTTTACTGTTGTTGTGCGCCATCAAGTCATTTCAGACTTATGGCGACCCTAAGGTGAAACTATTGTGGGGTTTTCTTGGCAAAATTTGTTCAGAGGAGGTTTGCCACTGCCTTCCCCTGAGGCTGAGAGACAGTGACCTGCCCAAGGTCACCCAGCGGGTTTCATGGCTGAGCAGGAATCAGACCCTGGTCTCCAGAGGCATAGTCCAAAGCACAAACCAGTGTGCCACACTGGCATACACTGGTCTCCACAGAGAGTCCTGGAACCAAACCCCAGCAGATTCCAAGGGCCAGTGGCACAACTGGTATATCTGATACCCAATGCAGACCATTTTTATTACCCCCTTCCTCTCTTCAACGGCCTTTTTTGGGTCCAGTGGAGTTGCTGGCCAAGTGGCCAAGGGAACAGACTTGCTTCCCCACCACCATAGCCACCAGACCCAGAAGGCACCAGTGGCTGCTGGTGGATGTGGGCTATTGCTACCATCCTGCACCATTTCCAGGTCTGGTGGAGCTGCTGGCTGAGTGAGAAAGAGAGAAGACTTGCAAGGATTACTCAAGTGGCGGCTTGTCACCACCTTCCTCCAAAATACAGCCTACAAAACCTGGTATTCTTTGGTGGTCCCCCTTACAAGTAATAACCAGGCCTGATCCAGCTTAGTTTCCAAGATCAGATAGTATCTGGTGTATTTAGGTTAACTAGGCTTTAAACTATCATCATACCAGCGTAGTGTAGTAATTTAAGCATTGGATTATGACTCTGAAGACCAGGGTTCAAATCCCAGCTCGGCCATGTAAACCCCTCTGAGATGACGCTGGGCAAGTCACACACTCTCAACCTCCGAGAATGGAAATGGCAAACCTCCTCTGAAAAAACTTGCCGAGAAACTTTGTTGTGGCACCAGAGCTCCCTGACAGAAGAGGCCAAATATCTCACAAAACTACAAATCCTAGAATTCCGTCACATTGCGCCATGGAAGTTAAAACGGTGTCAAGATGTATTCATTCTGCAGTGTGAATGCAGCAAACACACACACACACACAATCTGAGTGATGCATTTATAACAACCTTTCAAGGTCGGTCAGTGTTGTTGTTAGAGAATGGAGTAACAGCCAAGTTTCCTTAAAGCTACCCAATGAACCGGCAGCTGTGCCAGGATCTGAACAGAAGATGCCCGGCTCAGAGCTTTAACTATTACATTTCAACAGCTGTCCTACTGACTACAAGCAATTTTCCAGGTCAGCACAACCCTCCTCCTGCACAACATCCATTCTATCTTTCTCTACTTAGGTGTGCATGCAAAAGACCACATGCAATTCTCAAGCATCTCTGAAGCATCGCTTTGCCCAAGTCGCTGCATGCCATGCTTAATGCCAGACACCCCTTGCTGGGGTTTGACCCTGGAAAGCTGTTTTCAGCTGCCTGTTTCCACACTTTGTGTTGTGGTTGCAAGAAGAGACGGGCAGATC